CTGTTTAAGGTTTGCTATGGCAACCCCCGACGTCTAATCCCTCAACAGGCCACCCCAGTCTGTAATTATTGTTCAACCTATACTGAAAATAAACTGCCTCCATTACTCAGTCAGTTGTGTTTGATACACAGTGAGTAACACAAATGCTTCTTTGTTTCTGTAGCTGTATAAAAAGAAAAAAAAGTGGGAAAAGGTGGGAATGAAAGCCCACAATTTAGATTTTTCTAACGGCTGCGGTTCTATTCCTTCACCACCATTTCCGCCCGTGTAAAAATGGATACTTGCTCTCTCATTCCGGTAGACATTCTGGCTTTGCTGTACTATTTTTTTTTTCAGCATCTTTATTTGATCCTTTTTTTGTGCATCAACCATGCAGCAGCATCACATGGCTGGTACTCACATGGTAAAAGAAAGAGGCCTGTCATTACACTGTCGAGGCCCGGATTTAATCTGTAATTGGTAACTGCATCAGGATCACATTGGTGAATCGCTCCTGCTGCTCCCCTTGGCCCGTAACTTTTAATGCCGGTTTTATCGCGACTATTAGTTGCAGTAGAAAGGCACTTAGTCTGTTTTTGGAGCAGAGCCAGTACAGTGGGACAAATGGAGCGAGCCATTCAGTAGCTCTACATTTTTTTAAGACCTCTTGGTGCTGACACAAAAGGAGGTATTGATGTACGGGAAGACTGACGCTCTGTGTAATGCTCAAGAGAATTGGCTGAGGAAACAGTCCTTTCAAAGACCCTAATTCTAAATGCAAATGGGGCCACATCTTGTACTCAAGAAAGCTACAGTAAACCCATTTATGCTGTACTTCAGCAGCACGCTAGGCAGGAGTTGAAGAAATGGTGCTTGTTCTGTATGTGATTTTGATTTTAAGCAAATGTTTCTAGTTTTTACGATATCCTTAGTGTCTACATATAAAGTATACTGCAATGTTAATGACCATACACACTCCTGTTGTCTTATGGGGGCTTCTCAGAGGAATATATGGACAAAGAAAAGAAACAAAAGCTCAAGAAAGCAGAAAAACTAATATTTAACTGGCATAAAATGCAGTGGGTTTTGTGAATTAACCTGCTGTCTCAGGAAGGATGTTTGTGTTAGAACAAAAAAAGAAGGTTAAGTCAATATAAGCTACACCTATTTAGTGACTTTCCGAGAGGTGTTTGTCATCTTGTTTTCTTTGTACCACGTGCTGACCTAACCCCAACTATTTACTTAAACTCTCCCCTCACCCACAAGCCATTGTTTGTACTACCGGGGGCTGACTATATCTACATGCCATGCTCAATGACTTTAACCATGGAACCTCCATGTTGTTACAAACTAGATGAATATCTAAATTTAGAGTGGGTGTCATGCTTTATGTTTTTTTGGGGGGCTGGGTAGAGGGGTTGGCAGTTGCTGTGCATAAACACTGAGCTCATAATCCAAATGATAAAGGGTGCTGGAATCAAAAATGCATTCCAATATAAAGGAAACCATGTATGGAAGTCAAAGATTAGACTGTATTTGGATATAAAAAGTTACTGTTTTTTTGGTCATGCTTGTTCTCTAAACAGACCTGTTTTGGACAAGGTATAATGCAACCATAAGCACTATGAAAGTCGTCAAAACATGCTGCTTTTCAACTTTTTCTGCAAACAAATTAACATTTAAAATGTTATAGCAAAAAGCAAAGTGTCTGTTGTGATTTTCTTAAGTTACCGCAATCATCACTGTTGTGGAATTTCTGTAGTTATTTAGATTATAATGTACAGACACCATGAGGTTTATTCACTGTTCAGTCAGAGTCAGTCAGACCTGACAGAGTTCAGTTGTTATTAGAACACCAAGTACAGCTTAGAGAGTGTCAACTGTTCTTCCTGATATCTGCAAGGATGTTTTGTAGACTTATTGTCTGCTCCAGTGTCTGCTCTAGATTAGTCTAGGTGGGTCAATGTGAGACGACCCTGATAATGGCAATGTCTTTTGGGATATATGCAATGCCTTTCGAAAAGTTCTGCAGATGTGATTGAGCAAGACACGAGAACAGAAGTGTGATGATGAATCATGTCTCCTCATATTCTTCTTATGTATAAACTTTCATCAACGTAAGCCATCTGAGTCAACTGAGTCTTATTGTATGAGTCAAGTCTTAATAATTTCCTCAACAATCACAATCATTGTTATTCTGTTTTCTTAGACATTTTGGTGGCTGTAATGGACAGACAGTTCGAGACACTTCCCACATCTCTGGGATATTTTTTCACATGTTTTGCTGAATCTAAATCCAGAGAAAATGGGTATCCATTTCCATTCTGTCCGAGGCATTTATGGTGTGGTCAGCCACAATGGAGCAAAAACAAAGAAATAAGTGTGTTTTGTGATATTTTTTTTCCTTTTTCCGGAAATTTCAGACATTGAAACTGTGAAGCATAATATCTTCAGTGCAGAATAAGCTTATCGTGATATGACGCCGCATGATAAAACAGTTGCTCAACTTCCACTGAAAGATGAATGCACACAAGATTAGAAAAAAAAGGATGTGAGAAAATGTTTCTTTACAGTCTGAAAATATGGTCATTTGAGTTTCAGGGGGAAAAAAAGCTCTAAAAAACTCAACTGAGCTGCTTTTTGAAACTATGCTTACAGCAAGCCCATCAGTGTAGCTGCTGCAGGGAAAAGCAAACCACATCAGAACTTTCATGTCTGACTATGGTTGTATGTGAAGAAAAAAAAAACTACAACAGCACTCGTAAATCCCCAGGTCGTCTTTTCCTGTTTAAGCTCAAAATTAGAAAAATGTCTGCCGGCCTACCTCACGTGACATTTGATGCCATGTCAGAAAAACATGTTTTATTGAAGCCATTTTATTTGAAGCAGCATGATATAGACCGGGAAGTGCTTCCTATGCAAAGTTGGCCACAGAGGTGCTGATTACACTGAAAATGTGCCTGTACAGATTTTATGCATGGTTGAAAAATGTTTAAAGATGAAGAAAAACTCAATAATAGTCACATTTCCAATACATAATTTTTACATGACAGATGAAAAGTGTCTCATTTGTCTCTGTTGGCTAAATTATTAAGACTTGACCCCACACAATAAGACTCAGTTGACATCAGATGGCTAACGTTGATGATAAGATGAATACTCGAGGAGATATGATTCAACAGCACACTTTTGTACTCGTGTCTTGCTCAATCACATCTGCAGAACTTTTTGAAAGGCATTATCAGGGTCATGTCACATTGACCCACCTAGACTAAACTGTGATGGCAATAATACGAGAGCAGACAATAAGTCTACAAAACATCCTTGCAGATATCAGGAAGAACAGTTGACACTCTCTACGCTGTACTTGGTGTTCTAATAACAACTGACTATCAGGTCTGACTGACATTAGAGAACAGTAAATAAACCTCATGGCGTCTGTACATTATAATCTAAATAAGTACAGAAATTCCACCACAGTCTCCTCATCATTCATCGCAGAGTTTTGTGCATTAAAATTCCTCACAGAGTGGCTCATTATCACATGCAACAATCTGAGTTTTATAAATTGCGTGCCTCCGCTGAGATAATTTACTGTGTATTTAGATTTATGTCTGCTCCTCAACTATCATAATCACCTGCAACAGCATGATTTTTATGTGTTTAGCTCCAAGATATGTCTGAATTAACTCAATTTTCTGTCTGTTTATCACAGATCTTGGGTATGGTATCATTCCACCTCTACTCAGGCTGTTCTGCATATTTCAAACCCCTCATGGCTGATGTTGCAGGGCACCATATAACAGAGCAAGAGGGTGGGGTTACCTAAATGCCCTTATTTTACTGCAGGGGGGGGGGGGGGGTGAGAAGGCTTTAATTCAGTCGAAAGTGGTTATTCTATATTTGCTCTGACCATACAGTGACTCCACCCTCCACACTTGCCACATAAAGCCACTCTTAATATAAAAGTTTATGAATGTGAAGCTCTCCTCATTAGACCCAGACGCAGCAAACCTGGTAACACTCTCTATTAAAATAGAAAAGCCAGCCCAAGCTAACCAGATAATGATCTGTTGATATGAAGGGACTTACTTTGAGTGCACTGAAGTGGTTTTGGCGTAGCAATGTGTGAGAGCCAAGATGTGTGAATGACTAAATATTTAAACTAAAAAAACTTTCCTTTGTAAATGAGACGGAGAGAGAAAGATTGTATGAACGACAGACTGCCTGCATTTCTTTAAGCGGGTGGGGTCAGGTGGACCAAAATGACTCGGACCACATTATATGTAAAGTTTGGGTAATTACTAGGTTTGGAGACTTAAATAGCCAGGCCCACAGTGGTAAACACACTGGAAGTCAGGACGCCTCCACAGTATCTTTCCTTCTTGCCTCCTCAGAGACAAACAAGTTAGTGTGCAAAAACTTAAAACGTTTAGTTTAGGAAGACCAAAAAGAAGGCAGGGACACGTTAATTAACCCTTCTAACAGAAAGCAAAGAGGCTTTAAAATCACTGAGTGGTTTTGTTTCACAACGTACTATAACATCAACTGTGTTTCTCAAGTCATGTGTTCAGAGAAGTAAATGTGAACCAGCCTTAAAGGAAGAATATTCTACTTTTTGATCCAGTAGATGTCGCCCTTGAGCACCAGCATGAAACCAAAACAACTTGCACTGCATTGTTGTGTTAGCATGCTAATGAGGCTACCTCTTTGCTAATGATGGACAAAGCTATCCCCTAGTTCTATTAACTTACACACTAACACACATTGAAGGTGAAACACTTCTAGAAGCTTTACAAAGGTAGTATTTATAGCAGGAAACTTACTGAGTCTCTTTCATTTTGCACCAACAAGGTATCTTATACATGGATCTGAAACTCTACTTCCCTTTCGGATGTCATTGTTTAGACTTTAAGATCATTTTAAAGGATAACAGCAAGACAAAATTGGGTTTTTGTCAAAACAGAGTTGGTGTCAGTTGACAAAAAAAACAGTTTTAGGTTGCATTCAAGAGTGAGATGTTTTACAGTTAACATAAAAGAACGTTTATTGCGACAAACAAAATGCAAAAGGAACAGACTGGAACATCAGCAAACAGTCTGGCAGGCCAGAGTATCAGGGCCTCTTTTTATCACCAGCCAACAGACTTGTGTCAACAGACAGAAAGCTGCCGACAAACCTCACACAATCCTGCAAACCAGCTGCAGTTGGAATGCATGCATACATTGGCAGTGTAAACATCTGTTTTTACAGAATACGTCCTTACAGTCCTGAGGACAACTTCAAACAGCTTTTGGCCAATTATAAACATGCATGTACAGCAAAATACAGTATAGTTGTGCAAGAAAAGTACCCCTACTAAAGGGAAAGAACCTATGGAGCACATTCAGAGCTGGAGTCATAAAGTTTTGCAAAAAGAAATGAATGATGCATTGGATATTACTACTTAATCTCATGCATTAAAATGTCCTGCCATAAAATTGGTTTTACAAAATATTTTTGGCTGTGCATGAACATTTTTCACTTCAAGTTTCTTTGGTGTAAAAACAGCATTTTATTGCTGTGTCATCTGTTGATGTATACAACTAACTGAGGCTCCTGGAGGTGTTTGAGACAACTCGTTATTGTTCACAAACTCACAAATATCTCACATAGGACTCTCCTGTAGTTGCTTAAACATTTAATTTGGACTGGCTTGCAAGACAAGCCAATGATAGTTTAATTTGGAGAGAGAAAATAGTGCAAAAACGACGATACCTTTCTGTTTCCATCATGGTATAACCACATGAAGGTCAAAATAATGTCTCATAAACCTTCCAATAAGAGTAGAAAGCTTTACATGTATTTTCTGCTCAGCAATACATGTCTTCTTCACACTATTTTAAATAGTAAAAAACTTTAAATAGCACATGACCAGAAAAAAATAAAGCTCTCTGTATTAGAATAAAAGACCCCGATAGAAATATCAGTCATATCAGAGTTTTCTGAAAGGTTGATGTTGACTGTATCAGGGTTCAGCTTTGTCAAAGTCTATACAAAGTTGAACACTTTGTCCTCAATCAAACTGATAGACTTATTTGTAAGCATTTCTTCACTGCTAACAAGTTTATACCCGAAGAGCTTCATCGTTGGTCCACAAACCCTCTGGACAACCTGGGCTATTTTGAATGGTATACTAAACCTCCATTTCTCGACTTGCTCTGAGGAGTTTTTTTGTGTAGAGTAAACACCACTGGCCTCTTTTGAGGCTTGGGTATTTTTCAGAATCCAAGATTTTACTTGTGGAGTGAATGGGATTCCAGCAAACCTATACATCTCTGTCGCCTTCCTCATTGGGAACCGAGCAATGTCCTCGTACCGCACCAGCATGTATCGCCTTCGCAGCCACGATGGCTGCCTGAGGCCGACCCCTGCAGACATTGCGATGTTTTGGCAGTTCCCTTTCAGCTTCCTCACCTCATCATCATCAATGGGCACATCCCCGTTCAAAGCCCACTGCTTCCAGTTCTTGTATTTGGCAGCAAAGGCCACCATACGCGAGGCTAGAACAGCCCGAGGATCCCGAACCAGTTGGATGAACCTTACGTCAAGGCGAGGATCCTCTGCCAGGGGACGAAGGGTCTCCAGTTGGCGCACCCTCACTGACTTGATGGCTCTGTGTTCCTTCTGAAGACAGGACTGTGATGCCATAGTCAAATTTAGTGGTCCACAGCGTCTGGTCTTGCAGCGATAACGTTCAAAGACCCCTTTGACAACAGGGCTGCAGACGGACTCCTCACACAAAGAGCTGCTGGACTCTCTACGAAAGAGGTTTGGGGTGATGTGGTCCACAGGAAGGGGTTCAATGAAGCTTTCCAGCAGGGAGAAGTCACACAGGAAGAGCTTCTGGAGGACGTCACGGTATGCCTCTACAGACGCTGTGGCATTGGTGCCACCTGTCTTCAGGGTTAACATCTTCTCTACGTGCCACAACGGCTCAAACAGGTAGAACATGTTGTCATCCTGCTGGTTAAAGAACTCGCCGACAAACGAGGAGCCTGTCCTAGTGGTGGCCAACAAGAGGATGTGCTTCTTGCCCCTCGTCAAAATCTCTTGGTGCTCGCTGTAGTTCTCCAGACGTCGCTTCATCAACGTGAAGGCAGAGTCCATCTTACCAAGGGAGGTAAAGGAACCATTGTTCTTCAGCAGTATGTTGAAGGAACCACTGGGCTGCAGTGGGGTCTGAGGGGTTTGTTTTAAGGCAAGCTTATCTGACACCCTGGAAATAATGAAGAATCAGAGTTATAAAGAGTAAGGCACAGTTGTAGCTTATTCTAAATGTATGGAAGAGATAAGATTCACAAGTCAATCTCTAAAGCATTACATTCATCGCTGAAATTGACTTACCTTGATAAAATGTTGTTCTCTTTCTCAATGATAACAAGTGTCACAAAAAAGACGACGGATATTGTGTATTTGATCCTCATTCTTGGATGCCTGGATATGCTTTTACAGACTTCTTCGTAATGGGTACTGCCAATCTTGTAAGTCTCCAGTCACCTTCTTAAAGAGCCTCCCGGTTGTTTGTATTCCCTGTTGAGGCTGATGTTTCATCCTGTAAATGAAATGAGCATCGACGTGTCAGTTACATATTTTGCACATTCAAGCAGAGTAACAACTTCTCAATTCGTTGTGTCGAAACCCTCTGAGGTGTTCAGCTCCTAGAAATGAGGAAATTGACAGGCAGTTTTTTGCATATCTAATACTGAACTGTAATGCCAGGTCAAAGCTTCTCCATCCTGTGACTTTTCTTCCTCTTTTTTTGCCATGCAGAGCATCACTGTACTGTAGTCTACAAGAACAATGTTGGAGGCATTGACTCAGGGACAAAAATACCATATCTAAAGTAGGTAAGAATAGAACATAGTCAAGTGTGTTGCACTGGAGTCTAAGCTAGTTCTTCCCACGAGGAAGTCCTTGTTATCTTTGAGTGCAGTAGTGCATTTCAGGAGCATGCCCACCCACCCTGCAAGACTGAAGGCTTGTTCACGTTTATGACTCAGTCTTTATTGAAGTGATTTGAAAAATGAGCTGAAAAACAACTCGAGTGCAATTCAAGGACAATTTTGTAATTAAGCTGCAATTCCACGACTGCAAAGCTGCTTGCTTTTAAGATCATGAGTTGTCTGGGTTAAATTGATAATCCTCCCTCCCTCTGATATATATTGAGCTGAGCAGCCTGTCCTCCAAACTGCCAGCTGCTCCTTCATGTCAACACTGGGAGGAGATCTTTTCAACAGAGGAGGCCTTCGGTGACATGGGCTAGCTGTGCTGTAAACCATCTGGTGGTGGGTTTATGTGCTGCTTCTTCATAATATGCCTTTTGTGCAGCCTAAAACACTGCCTGAGACTGAGGGGGACGCATGTCCAAACACTGAGGTATAACTGCACGCTGCTGAAATTGAAGGGGAAAGCCTGCTTGTCATGAAGCCATAAATTGTAGTGTTGGAAGCCTGCAGGCCATTCACTACTTCGAGTAGTCTGTAGATGGTAACAGTGGGAAGTTAAAATAAGCAAAGGGTGGATTTAATGATGCCTATTTGGGAATTTCTTGTGCATTCCTGAAAGACTGATATTAGTTTACCTTTAGGATAATGGTATCTTTCCTCAAATCCCTAACTCATCTTTGGATTTTAGCATGGTCCTGCTTTATCTTGTCTTTAAGGGAAAACACAGCAAAAGTAAACAAGACACCCTGAGGAAATTTACTAAGGGCCAATTGGCCACTAAAATGCTGGAATTTATGCTTTAAATGTTTTTGACGCTCACACAGAGGTTGTACAGTCAGTATTTTTTCATTCTGAATCAGACGTCTGGGTTTGTGAGAACATTTGTTTGTGGGATCTGTGAGGAGTTACACATGGTCCTGAGTGTGTCTGTGAAATGATGGCAGGTCTAGCCTCAGGGGCAAACCTATTAGCAAAACTGCGTCTATTAATCAGCAGAACCGCAACAGACCAAGCTTTCACTCACTACAGCACAGCAGTCAGGTGTTCGACACCAAACAAGCAGCACTGTGCAGGAAGTATAAAGCTTGGCACATGACAGCTTCTAGAGGTCGAGTTCTCACATCCTGACCTCGGTCCAGGGCCAGTGTGGAGGTACAAAAAAAAGCTTGCAGTCTAAACAAAAGGGATGGTTGGACACCTCCTGTGAAATTCTAGGAGAGGGGAACGAGACGTTTACAGCTCAGATGGAGCACTGTTGACGTGGAACGGTGTGTAATCAAAGGTGAACAGCCAGTATACTTAAGCACGTTTTCACCAAGAGGAAAAGTCTGCTCTGTCTTACACCAGCCTGCCGCATGCCACAACCACAACGGTCTCTTTACACAGGAGGGACTCTAAACCTCCTTTTCGGCCGAGATCGCGGAACATAAACTGCCAGGTCACTCGCACGTCACGGGGTCAGCGACTAAACCCCTCTGAATGTAAAGTCATGTCAAAGTGGTTACATAGTCGGCTGCATGAAAACTGACTCCTTAAGCCATCATTGGTCACATCCTGTGTGCTAAAACCAAAAAAACAACTCATTGTATTTGTCATGCAGTTTGTTGAATGAAAACGTCATGACTGAGGGATTCCTCTTGACAAAAAAGTTGATTTGATAAAATGATCCTACATCATAGTTCTTTGGGATTTGATATATATTGAAACACTTTTTGTCCTTTGTATGTGATTAAAAAAAGAAACGTTAAAAAAAAGAGAGACTCCAGCAATTCATCAAGAAAATAAGTTCTCTGAGATTTTGTCATTTCTGTGGTAAATTAGATGTACACCAATTATCTCAGCTTATTACATCTGCTCTGTGAAGGAAAAGAAAAAAACCCACACACATGAGCGGACATTCTTGAATATTCACAAACCACTGAGGCATATGACACTTTTGATCATCTGCTCGTAACGGAACCACACCATTTATCATCTTGTTACAAGTGCTTTTAATAGCTGCCTTTTATTTTATGTAAATCTGTTGGGAAAACAAACCAACCAACTTTTCTTGAGAAACTGCAAGTATGTGCTACTGTACTGCAGATGTAAACTATATTTAGAGAATATCTGACAGCACCAAACCAACTGATTAGAAGGCCCTTCAGTATCATCTATACAATCTTATGTAGACATGATAATTACAGGATGATGTGTACTTTTGAACTAAAATGAAACAATGAAATAATACAAAATGAATAATTGATAGGGACATATTCCACCTCTATACTAGAGAAGCTAAAGTTTATATATAAACCAGATTTATAAGGTATATAATAGGATACATTGCTATGGTTTAGACTATATATATTTTTAGATTACCAAGTGTTTCAATCAGAAGGTTAGCCACATTGCCATCTTTTTTTTTATGTTCAAGCATCTTCATGTAACACTGACAAAAATCAGATTTAAAGATTTAAGGAGTTTAGCAAATTAATCAAGTACCTAAAGAATTAAAATACATTTTAACTGTATTTACAGCAAATCCATTGATATCATTTTAAAAGCAACATTTTAAATGTTTCTTGGTTAACACTTCTTGAATCAAGGATAAGCTGTTTGTCAAAGTCGTATATGAAATTAGAGGAAGTTTGGGGGTTTTACTAAAGAAGCAGTTTGAAATTGTGACTTTAGGCTCTGGGACACATTTTTCACATCTTAAAGGCTGCACAATTAAACAGGTATTTAATAATCAGCACATTATTTGTTTATGAAAACAGTCAGAAGTTGCAGCCATAGACGTTAAATAGGCTACTGTACCGCCATAGAGTGCTGTGTTTTGTATGGTGAGTCCTGACATGTAAGTACAGCATCATATTGAGTTACCAAAGGGAAAAATGAATGCACTATGCTCAAGCATTACAAGTTAAGTTTTTTGTCTGTCACTATGACAGATAGGGCAACCTGTAGGACACTTTTCAGAGACTGTTTGAGTTATGCAATCAGACTGAGGGATTGCTGCCATGGTTACAGGAAGTGTAATGAGTGCACAAATTCGGAAAGGAAACTTGTGGTCAAATCTGTGTTAGAGATCATAAATAATCACAGGCCTAAATAAAGATCCTTTTAACATTTTATGACTTCTTGATTGGACTTTGAAACGTTTTCATCTTAAATCGCAGTGATGGAGAACAAATTTAGAATGTTATCAGTAGTGACAGTGAATCAATCAGTGAGGGGTGGACAGCAGGAGAGAGGCATTCAAGCACCACAAGTTTAATTAAGACCAGGGTGTAGGCGAGATTCACGCTGGTTTTAGTATGTGTATGGACAATGTGGCGATTTTGCACTTGGAGAGTAGTGCTCTTGTCACACATTTAGATCTGAAAACATAGACATGCATGTTAATCCTGGAAATCCAGAGGATAGCCTAGTGACTTTGTGAGTAATTTTGCTGTCAATTTAGGCCTACACAATTCGTAAAGCTGAACAGAGCCCCTTATGTTGGGGACAGGCAGCTGGCTAATGAAATAAATAAGTGGTTATTATGGTCTCTGCAAAGCATGCACTGCGTTTAAAGGTCAACAGGAAAAATAAACCAAACTGAAGTCATGCTTACTTAATTAAAATGCCACTTCAAGTAACTTTTAAGTCAGAACTCTTTACAGTTTAGTACCAGGGTGTTGTTTGAGATGACAAACCCTCCAATGTTGTTACAGTATATCCGCTCTTCATACCCACCATAATGATGAGCTACAGTGTTCAAACGTCCTCAGTCCCCCGATTCATCCGTGAAGTTAATCAGCCTTTCCTCAGAGAGCGACTCCGGACAGAAATAAGTCCCATTTCTTCCCGAGTGCTTCACTTGTGTGACAAAAAAGTGGAGAAATCCAAAAGAGGGAGCTCTAAATGTGCAAGCTGAGAATCAGATGGAGTCATGTTGGAGGTGTCCGCTGGTCGGGCTGCACGCTTAACTGAATGACAACTCAGTGCAACAGTTGCGACTCAGTGAATCACATGGGGAAACTTTGAGGTCCTTAAGGAGCGGAGCCTCAGGAGGCGCACTGCCCCCAGAAAAAAAAAAAACGCACAGACCACCTGTGTAGTCCTTAGAAATTATTGAAAGTAGACAACTAATCGCGAGAAACGATCTAAGAATAAATAAAGGCCTAATACTGTCGCTGTGATGAGCACTCAACGAAAAACAATGCAAACACGCCGCCTAGTGGAAAACATAAAATCTGATTTGTCTGTTTGAATGAACTCTCTATTTAAAATTATAAAATAAAAATGTTTCTTTCCCAGACCAGTGGACACGTACATTACACTCCTCGAACATTTTGAGATAGGGCCTAACTATGGATGATGATTTCTTAATGGAAAAAAAGTCTACATTTTTTTACACCGTAGCCAGTTAAATGCTTCCTCACTGTGGATTCGTCCTTCAATTCAAGTCAAAAAAACTTTATTTGTCCCCGGGGGGCAATTCAAAGGCACACAGAGCAGTAAATTAACAACAGTGCAAGTAAACAAAACATTTTAACCTAAATAGAAAGTGTAAATTTAAATACAACTTAAAGCTTAAACTTAACTTAAAAATATAAAGGAGTAGATATAAGTGGACAGTGATCAGACTAACAGATGTAAACAGATGTAAACAGATGTAACCAGAACTATGTGCAGTAAACGAGAAATAAATATATATATACAGAGCTATGTGCAAGTAGGCTAAATACTAAATGATAAGTTATAAGGTGCATGTTGAATAATGGAACAACAGAACTAATATAAACAATATAACTGTAAAGGTAAAAATGAGATAAATAAAGTGACCGTAGTGCAATGATGGATAAGAAACATCAGGAATAAAGTAACCAGAACTGCATGAATACTGATATAAAAAGAATAGAATAAAGTGATGTAGTGCATGAGACCAGATAAAGCAGAGGCAGTAAAGGTGCACGGCAAATACAAAGAAAGTAAAACAGCAAAGTTCACAGCTGAGAGTCTGCATCACACCTTTCATGTGAAGTAAAAATATGTAAATATTTAATGTGTGCTTGGAAGTTTTTTTTAATTTCTGTGTATCGGATCTTAAACAGGCTACTTATAAAACAACTGACAAGGTTACAAAATACAGCCCGGACAAAAAAAAAAACTACAACCCCCATCATGCATGTCGCTTAATGATGACGTACCGATAGAGAAATTTCACGAAGGTTTGCAAAAACAGTTGCGTCAGAAACGTGCGCACTTTGTTTCCTGAAAGGTGAACGACGAACGCTGCTTCTTCTCTCGGTATGTGACATTTATCCAGCTTTCTCGAAATATATCAAATGTTCATTAGGGGCAAATGATGAAAGAGTAGTATCAGTATACACTGAGAATCTTAACAGAAGTAATACCCTGAAGATTTCAGTGAAATGAGTCTTACATGTTACGCCACTAAGAGTTAGCCTACGTTCGCTAGCGTGGTTACGTGACATTAAATGTTATGATGTGACGTTTGTATCCCCTTGCATGTTTTGCCAGCGTTATTTCAAATTGTTATTTAACTTTCTGTGTCACTATCGTAATACATGTGACGTTCATGCGTGACAAGTGCGTCAGACACCGTCACTGTTACCTGACGTTTGTTTGTCTTTTCAGACTGCGTCTCAACATCTTTTTGTGACCATGTTGGTTGCGCGGCTGTCATGCCTGAGGAGTGCCCCGCTCGCCGGGCTCCGACCTGTGCTGTCCCAGAGCTCTCCAGCCCTGAGAGCACCCCTCCTGATGAGGACCTGTCCTCCTCTGCTCAGGTCCCAGCAGCAGGTAAAGTTCACACCTGGCAGGCTGGCTTCATGGCTCCCTGCATGCACTTTATATTATGTCACAACTCACTCAGCAGACGCTTTTATCCAAAGCGACGTGCATCAGAGAGCAAGTACAACACTAATCCATTCATACACCGCCTCTGAAGCAGCGGGAGCAATGCGGGGTTTGAGTGTCTTGCCCAAGGACACGTCGGACATTGTTGCTCAGATGCGGGATCGAACCCTCGACCTTTCCGGATGAGAGGCGACGACTCTACCAACTGAGCAACAGCCGTCCCATATTATGAACACTCTGCATTGTTTTAACTACTGTTTCACACCATGACATTTTTAAGCACCACCGTCCTACTTTTTTATCTTTTAACTTCCTAAGCATTCATTAAATGTTATGAACATTTATTTTCTGTCATTACACCTTTACTCTGATTGAGTTTGAAGTGTATTGTGTTGCCTTGCCTTTTTTATTTCTATTTATTGCACACAAAAAGAAAAACATAAACATAATAGATCAATGGAAAAAAAAACAGACATTACATAATGATTAGTTAATTAACAAACTATACATTTTGAAAGAAATGTGCTGGAGGAGCCAAATAAACCCAGAGGGGCTTGTCGAGTGGCCCTCCTAAAGAGAAACATGTAACACAGAGACATATTTTAGGATAGGATAGGATAATACTTTATTGATCCCCAGAGGGGAAATTCGGGCGTTACAGCAGCACAGACATGAAAGCTAAAAAATACACATTAAACAGAATAGATAAGTTAAGTAAAAATAAAAACAGGGGGTATATACAGTACAAAATGAATGATGAAGTTAACTGGGGGGAATTAAGACAGTATTTGCAGAGAATGACAAGATAAAGTGACAAGTAATTAAAGTGACTTGGTATGATAATTATATGATAATTGGTATGATATTATTAATGTAGCCCAAGCAAAAACAATAGAGCTAACAAGAACACATACTCAATAAGGTGTAAAAGAAAGCAAAACAAGAAAGAGACAAATTAAAGAAGAGGGGAAAAGGAAAATAAGCTCTTAAGGCGGCGAAAGATTATGATAGCGGTTATTGGTTATTTGGCCAAGCAGGAAATGAATGGTTTGTTTTTTTAAATAAGTTGAGGCTGGTTCTGTTTCTAATATGATTGGGTAAATCATATAAAACTACTATGTTAGAAATACAATCGTATTAATCGTTATCAGATGGTGGAATAAATGCAAGATATCATCACATAGCGGGCACTAAATGTACAGAGATATGACCTGTAGAATAATAATAATAATAATTGTGTTTTTTTTTCGTCTGCATTTGTTTAATTATACTGCAAGCAAAAACATTGAGTTGGAAATAGTAGGAAAAGTAAGACATTAAAAGTCCTATCTACAATAACAAGTATAATAAGCAAACTGATGGATGTTATATGTTGCTGACTCCTTGATAATTATTTAATAATTATATTATAGCCCTTAAACAAACATTTTGTAGTGTTATGTGATTTTGTGTTACATGTTTTGTTTTTCCCCCACAGGGTTTATCCTCTAAGGCCAGATTTGGTTTCCGTCGTGTGAAGACAGCGAGAGACCAGCTCAAAGATGCAGCTTTTGAACCATCAAATACCGCCATTAAAAGTAATCTATTTTATCTGGTTATCAATATAAGGTGCTGTTACATGCTCAGTGTTTCCCCTAGGTTTACAGTGGTTGATTTTTTTTTGGGGGGGGGGGGGATGCGGGCAGACGGACGCCGACACAAACACTTGAAGGACTCTTGTTCATGCGTTACTTTTAATGACAGCTGTCCTGTTCTATCGTAAAGGTATCCCTAAATGACTTCTTTTCTTAATTTCCGACTCTATCCACTATCTCTACAGTAAAGACACAAAAAGCCCCCAAAAATATTTTCTTTTTTAACTTGACTTTCAAGTGTGGGGGGGGGGGGTAATGGTATGCTGTTACTTTTCAAGTTTTAGTCTTACTTAACTGAGTTTATTCTGTGAACTCTAACAGGACATAGCTGTGCCAATATATGATGGGCCTAAAGAAGTCCTGAAGGCCTGAAGTCCTATGACAGCCACAGTGTTTCACTTTTTTTTTTTTGCGTGTTTTTATATCTATGAGGAATTACAAAACATTTCAACACATGCCTAATGTAAACGTTTTGTCCTCAGTTGACAGCATGGGAAGACTGGTTCTGGCTGGAGGTGCAGCCGTTGGACTTGGAGCTTTGTGCTACTACGGACTCGGCATGTCCAATGAAATTGGCGCCATTGAGAAAGCAGTGTGAGTAACAGTTTATCTGTACAGGCAGCTCCTTTATCGTCTTCTGAATGACAGATAAGTGCATAGAAAATGTTTGCTGCCTTCTGAGAGCTCCATATAGACTTGGCTCCCCCGTCTCTTTGCAGGATCTGGCCTCAGTATGTGAAGGACAGGATCCACTCCACCTACATGTACTTTGCAGGCAGCGTTGGACTAACAGCTCTGTCAGCTGTAGCCGTCAGCAGGTCCCCGGCACTCATGGGTCTTATGATGAGAGGATCCTGGCTGGTAAGTTACATTACTGAAGTTTGTCCCACAAAGGCAGATGTTTTTTGTAGGTTCTCACCGCATTAAAACATTTTTTTAATAGAATTATCTATGTGAAGGCTATTACTCTATACTTTCCCATAGTGATTCATTAGTAATTGGTTTCTAAAATGAATGTTGAATGTTTTTCTAACCCAGGCTATTGGAGCAACATTTGCTGCCATGATTGGTGCCGGCATGCTGGTCAGATCAGTTTCATATGAGCACAGCCCGCTGCCAAAACACCTTGCTTGGATGCTTCATGCAGGTTTGTAGTACAATGTCCAGTGGAGTCTCATCAAACTGTTTTATCTATCACTGTATTTTTTCCTGTGGTGTAATGCCTCAGTTGAACAATAGAGGGCAGTCATGTAAAACCTTTAAAATAAACCGCTTCTGCTTTATTTGTAACATTTACTGTTACACCTTGAATGATCCACCCTGTTTGTTGTTTTCTTTTTATTATTCAATTTTCTTTCTGTATTATTTATTGGTAAGGTGTCATGGGTGCTGTCATCGCTCCGCTCACTCTCCTGGGAGGACCTCTGATGATGAGGGCCGCCTGGTACACTGCAGGCATTGTGGGAGGTCTGTCCACGGTGGCGATGTGCGCCCCAAGTGAGAAGTTCCTCAATATGGGCGGTCCATTGGCTGTGGGCTTTGGTGTGGTTTTCGCTTCTTCTATTGGTGAGTATAATGCAGTTTGGCCCCATATCTAAGGCTCTGTGTCGTTTCAAACGATAGATATAAACATCATAGCACAATGTCAAGTTATTCATACT